TACCAGATGGTGCGAGGTGCCAAAAGTGTGCAACTGAATCATAAAAACGGAATTAAAAAATCCAATCCGGTGCTAGATTTTCATGAAAAGAGTCACGGAGGGAAGGCAATACTAAAGAAGATCTGTTAGCAGTGATGGAATCCTTAAAAGAAGCTAGAGCGACTGCCAAATCCTCAGTGCTTATCCTGCTCGACTTATCGGCTGCATTTGACACTGTCAACCATGGCTTCCTTTTGTCCACACTCTCTAGCATGGGCATCACAGAGAAAGCACACGCCTGGTTTGAATCGTACCTCACAGGACGATCATTCAGTGTATCTTGGCTTGGACAATCCTTTACCGTGCACCATCTTGCCACAGGAGTCCCCCAGGCCTCTGTACTAGGACCTCTTCTCTTTGCCATATACACCACCTCACTGGGTGAGATCATTCGATCACATGGCTTCTCCTACCACTGCTATGCAGATGACACCCAGCTCTATCTGTCATTTCCACCGGACGACCACACTGTCTCTGCACGAATATCAAACTGTCTCTCTGACATATAAAAATAGATGAAATCCCACCATCTCCAACTCAACCTCTCTAAAACTGAACTACTTGTCATCCCAGCAAAACCATCCATACAGCACAATATCTCAATCCAGAATGACTTCCTGTCTTTGGCTCCTTCAAAGGCAGTTCGAAATCTGGGTGTTGTGATTGATGAACACCTGACCTTTAAAGATCATGTTGCCTCTGTTGCTCGTTCATGCTGCTTTGCGCTGTATAACATATGAAAGATCAGACTATACCTAACACAACATGCCACCCAGCTCCTGGTGCAATCTACTGTCATCTCCTGCCTCGATTACTGCAACGCCCTTCTAACTGGTCTTCCAGCCTGTACTGTGAGACCTCTTCAAATGGTCCAGAACGCAGCGGGGCGTCTGGTCTTCAATCAGCCAAAAAGAGCACACGTCACCCCTCTGTTCATTGAGCTCCACTGGCTACCGCTAGCAGTACGCATCAAATTCAAATGGCTAACACTAGCATACAAAGTCAGAGATGGTACGGCTCCCATCTACCTGAATCCTCTTGCAAAGGCTTACGTCTCGGGCCGGCCGCTCCGGTCATCACAGGATGGTCGGCTAGCAGTGCCTACACCACTCTCAGGACAATCCAGACTCTTCTCATGCATCGTTCCACAAATGTGGAATGACCTTCCAAGCACTACCAGAACAGGGGCTTCCTTTTCAATTTTCAAGAAACTCCTGAAGACCCTGCTCTTCAGAGAGCATCTTCTAAACTAGCACCCTCCCTGTACCCGTCCCCCCTCTCTACTGTCCACTCCTTGTTCCCTCCTCTCCATGACTGATGTCAAGTTGTTGTTGTTAGCCTCAAGGGCAACATGCTGATTATCACTTGTAAGTCGCTTTGGACGAAAGTGTCTGCTAAATACATAAACATAAACATAAGTGTGTTTTCAGGGCCGACTTGAAACTGCTGACAGAGGGAGCCAGACGCACATGGAGGGGCAGAGAGTTCCAGAGTTTTGGGGCTGCATAAGACAAAGGCACGCTCCCCCATGATTTGTACCGAACCTTCGGAACAACAAGCAGCAGATGATCTGCTGACCGAAGGGCACAGGTGGGAACATAGGGGGTCAGCAGGTCCGTCAGATAGGATGGGGATGGGCAGTACAAAGCCTTGTAAACATATAACAAGACCTTGAAATTCATCCTAAATTTGACTGGGAGCCAGTGCAAATCTGCGAGGATGGGTGTGATGTGCATGCGTCTGTCGGTGTTGGTTAAAAATCTGGCCGCGGCATTTTTAACCATCTGCAGTCTGCTTAGGGCTGAAGCATTAATCCCAATCAGGACAGAATTTGCATAATCCAGACGTGAAGTAATGAAAGCATGAATGACTGACTCAAGATCCGGGCGTTTGAGGATTGACTAAAGGCGAGTGATGCGGTCGAGTTGGACAAAGCAGGACTTGACAGTAGCGTTGGCTTGTGAAGACATTGAAAGGTCAGAGTCATCAGGAAGACATCAGCTGTTTATACAAAGTTGTTGATGCTGTGGTGCTGTGATGAGGTAATAAACGCATCAAAAAGCATTGTGTGGTTTAAGGGAAGCTTACTTATATCTGTTCTGATTGAGCAGAATAATTCTCAGTCCTAGATAACTGTCACCATGTAAACAGCTGTTGCTAGAAAATCCTTGCTGTGAATAATATTTTATTAGTCACCACTTGAACATTTCAAACGTTTCTGAATAGATTTGCTTGTGACTGCAAATGGGTAGCAGCATCTAGCACGGCACTTCTGGCCTGAGTCACTTCTGCAGAAATATTATAATTCCTTTTAATATCAATAAAAAGTACATCATGGTGCATAAAATTCAAAGGATGCACCGATGCCACATTGTTTCAGACTGAGTACTTGTGTTAGTACTTGCCGGTACTGCGTACCAGTATGAGTGCATCGATCTCCACAGATCTTGTTGTTGTCCTGTCGTTTGGAGTCTGTCAGTTCTACGTTGTATTATATTTAAGTTTTATGAAATCACTGAGGTTGAAAGTGCCAGATTACGTCTTTCTTCTGTGTTGAGCTGAGTTTGTTGTCACCGTCCTTCTCACAGCAGACGTTACTGCTCCTCCACCACCCCACTGCTCCAGCCAAGAGATGAAGGTGTCAGTGCCGTGGCTCCAGTGTTTTTATACATGAGTATGTGCACAACAACAAAGCAATGAAGTGTTTTAGACACACTGATATAATAAAGAATGAAAACATCCTTTAATCAAAAATCATCAATGTACGAACTGCATGTTGTTTCCAGCTGTTTATGGAACAAGCACATTTAACAGTAGAACTCTGCTGGCTGAGCTACAGGTTCATATTAGTCTCAGGTTCAGGTGTGAGACAGCCAGGAAACAGGAAACAGCCAGGTGGAGGTAAGGGCAGCAGTAGTTCAGGAAGTTCAGCGGGTAGTCCAGTAATCGGAAGGTCGCAGGTTCAATCCCAGCTTCCTTTGGAAAGACACTTAATCCACCTTGCCTGCTGGTGGTAGTCGGAAAGTCCAATGATGCCTGTTCTCATCTGCCTTGGCTTTGTCAGTGCGCCCAAGTGCAGCTGTAGCTACAATGTAGCTCATCACCACCAGTGTTTGAATGGATGAATAATGCCCTCTAGTGTAAAGCTCTTTGGACTCCTCCGACTCTGAAAGGCCCTGCTATACAAGTCGTGTTGACCGCTCTGCTGTAGGATCAGCTGGGAATGATTTAGGGCAGAAATGTGACGTTAATATTAAACTTTAAAGTTCAGATATGTCGTGTTGTGCAGATTATTGTAATGATTTAACGATAACTGTAATCCCACTGCTGGCTTACGAGTAATTGTTTTCTCCTGAGGTTTGGGTGCAGTGTTGCTCTAACATCCAGTGCAGGCGTGTACCCTAGATTAGCTCAGTGGCAGCTTGCATCAGGTCCAGGGCTGCTTTGCTGAGGATGATGGAGGCAGAATGTCTCCACAGTGTTTAACGTAACGTTTGTTCAGTGGTTTAGGAACAAATCCAGGGTCAAGCTAACACAGTGAGGTTTTTGCCATTTAGAATAAGAACATTGCTGGTCTGAGGTGGGTAGTATGTCTTTATTTGGATCACACTTGTAAATGTGAAACAATGAATTGTATATTACAGCTAAAAATAAAAATGATCTCACCATCTTGGTGTAATAATTGTCCAAAACGCTGCTTTTACTGTTGAATTGACTCATTACCTTTTTGGGCCATTTATTTATTTCTGTATAGGTCGATGAGTCGACTACAGTAAAAACAGCTTCAGCCTGATGGTTTCAGCTTCTGCTCATGCTCAGATGGACATAAAACTACTGTGAAGTTTGCGTGCTCATTTACCAGAGCCATGCCTTTTCGTGTGCTTCTAATCCACCGGGCTGCACAGTCAGCCTGCCAGCGGTCTCCATGGAGACACCGGTCTAAGAAAACACTTCCCTCCTCAGCACCAATTGTACCTTTTCAAGAACTTTCTGCCCATTTAATTCAGGAATTTGAGCCCCAGAGAGCTCCCCCCCTCCCCACTCCTCACTTCTTCAGAGCTGAGCGTGGACATGTCTACCACAAGAACACTCAATGTTGTTTATTTGTGTCAGGATGAAATGATTCTGCAGTCTGATGATTAAAATAAAACAGCTGACAGGTTTTACCCTCTAATTATAGCTTCTGTTTGCAGTACCTTTTTATTAAAGGTGTAGTTTACTCATTTATTCGATACATTTGCAGTGTTCCCTAGTGTAAATAAATGCCTTGAGTCGTTTAAAAAAGCTATGATACGCCTGTTCTGAGATGCAGAAGTTTGTTGGTGCAGAGGTGGGCTGAAAACAGCAGAATTGCTCATTATTATTATTAATGATATGCACACACCTTGCTTCTGATTGGCTCACAGAACACCTTCAGCCATGTTACAAAGTTACCATCACCGACACACTCTCCGCTCTCTCTCCTCCCTGCAAAAACTTGTTAAAAAGCCTTTCTGTGGGCGAGCGCAAGCCAAGAAGGGTGAGGTCATGAATTGAAATTCACAGTGTGACATCACAGTGTAAGGATTTGCAAATCCTAGCATTTCACCATTTATTTTCTATCAAGCTAAAGCAGGAGATAGGTGTAGGAGACTATTTTCATGTTCAGCCTGCATGAAGAACTCAGTTACTGATTATATCCGAAACAGTCATTTAAAATGTTTTCAGTCACCCACACCTTCAGGACAATTGTATTTAAAAGTTGAAATGTGATGTTTTGCGCCTTCAGATTTTTCTAAAAGTTGGGGCATGCAGAAAAACTCAAACCTGAGGCCTTTTCCCTCTGTTAACACCAGCAGGGTGAATGTTGTGCTCTGTGTTCTTCATGGATTCATCGTGTTTCTGGGAATGAAAACGAACTTCTTCCTTGTTGCCGGAGCCATGAATCATCAGATCTGATGTGACTCTTTTATTTCCTTCAGGCGACGGATAACTTTGATCGGCAGGACTTCCATAAGATGTGTTGGACTTTGTCTTCGAGGAAGAACCTGGAGCAAAACCATATCTTCATCTCCAACGATGATGCCTTCAAGATATGGTGCATCTTTAACTTCCTGTCGGAGGACAGATACCCTCTGATCATCGTCACTGAGGAGGTGAGTTGTGAAAACGGGAGACGCTTGTTCTGTTCTGCTGTAAGATGCACATGTTTTCACTTGTTTAACACCCTACCCCTTATGTTCATGCTCTCATTCACTGGACTGTCACTTGTTCCTCGCTGTACCACAACTCGCAGGCATCTTTCAGTGTGATGCACAGCCTTGTGCGTCTGAAACCAGGAAGTAACCGTGACATTATAAAGATGTTGAGAGCTCTTTATAATGATATAGACCAACTAGAAGTGTTATTCATGGTTATTTACAGATTTCGGACCACCGGAAACATGAAAAAATGCTAAAGACCAGTTCCTCCCAGAAGCAGAGTCAGGCCCTGTCCACACGTAGCCGGGGATCTGCCAAAACATAAATATTTTTCTATGTTTTGGCCTGTCATCCACACAAAAACAGAGTTTTTTCACACGAAAATGGATCTTTTTAAAAACTCCGGCCAAAGTGAAGATCTGCGTTTTCTCCGTTTTGGGTGTCTGCGTGTGGACAGACAAAACCGGAGTTTTAAGGTCCGCAACGTCACTTTCCGCGACAAAAAATGCTGACATCACGTGTGCAACCTGTGTTTACACTAGCCGACAGCATGGATGCCCTCAGAGCTGTGCTCGCTTCAATTGTCCAAGCGCTTTTTGCTTGTTTGTTTTTGCAAGCGGAATTACTGCTCCTTGCGGAAGACCACAGACGAAGGACGAGGTTAAGAACGGGGGAAGTACTGCCGCCTACAGGTCTGGCATGTCCTTAACAACGTATTTATCCGGGTACGTGTGGACAGAGTTTGTTTTTAAACGAGGTGGTGTGGATGCAAGTTTTTGGAGGGGTGGAAATTCGTTTTTTTTAAAACCCGGCTACGTGTGGACTAGGCCTAGGGCTGCTCGATTATGGCAAAAATAATAATCACGATTATGGTGACTGAAGTTGAGATCTTTATTATTTAAGACGATTTTTCAATTTATGTTGATTTTATTTGTTTTTATTCAGTCATAAAATTGCTCAGGGCACAATCAGGACAAAAATAAATAAGAAACAAGATGATCACTAAAATAACTCCTGATTCCCAGTATAAAAAGACCAATATACTTATAGCTCATAGTCTATGACCCAAGGGCTATAGATCTTGGTTTAACTCATTTAAGTCTAACCAGTACAGACCCAAATACCAATATCTTGCAAATACTGACAGCAAGAATTATACAGTGGCATTTATAACAAATAAATGCAAATAAATTGATGTTAACAAAATGTTGCATAACATTTATTTAGTCATGTCAATGTGCTGTAGGAGCGTGCACTAGCACCGTGTCCTCAGAGAGATTAGTTATTAGTTATCAGCGTGAGGAACTTATTTCTACCTTATTTATAGACTATTTATTTACAGGTCCATGAGTTAATGTAATAATTGTCCCAACCACAGCTGCACCCCCCACCCCCCAACCCGGTCTCACAGCAATCAGGGGCAAGCTGCACGTGTGTTTAGCATGCCGCACGCGCACATTTAGCCGTTTTTAGTGGCTCAGGAGCCCGCAGGTACGGTGTGTGTCACTCACTCTGGTTAATCCAACAAGGAGCCGCTCCGAGAACTGTGTCTTTAGCGACTGACACATCACTACATCATTCCCTTTCCTAATGTCCTGGAGAACGGTCCGGAGCGCAGGCGGAGTGTTTAGCTAACCTGCAGGAAACGTCGACGACAGTTATCCAGAAAGTAGCTAAGGGCTACCAGAGATGTTTCTGACGTGTTCGCAAGGTACTTTTAAGATTTAAAAAGTCAGGAATGGGGTCTGAAAAGCTGTTGGAAATAGCGTCAAAGTCGATAAGTTGGCAACACTGGAGGAGCGCTTCATTTGCAATTCGGAGCAGCGCAAGTGGGAGGAGCAAATAATCGGCTTGTTTTGTTTTTATAATCGTTCAAAACTCAGATCGTAATCGTGATTAAAATTCGATTAATTGAGCAGCCCCAACTAGGCCCCAGAAAAACTTTTTAGCTCAGTTTATTTCTAGCTTCAGTAATATGGATATTTACTCTACAGAAGAAATATTTGGTAGTTTTTGCAAAGATGTGAATTTCTTGCTTTTGTCTTCAGTTCTGTGTGAAACACACCTGTGCTGGTTTGAATCCCCGTGCAGCACAGCTGGTTTTCATCCAGTCGTGTTGCAACAGCTAGCCAGGTGAAGCGTCAGTTGGTCAAGAGCAGAAAGGGAAGTTTCCGGCTTCCTGTTCTTTTACAAATGCTGGAAGATTTATTGTTGGGTGTTACAAACATTAGATCTGTATGCTTCAGTCAGCTGACAGAGAGAAGAATAGTGGGAAAAACACAAAACTGGCCACTTTGGTTCTAAATAAACAGCTCAATAATCCGATGTGAAATCTCATTATGTGTTTGTTTTGCTGTTTTTCCTGTTAATCTGAAATGAAACTTTATCCTGTATGCGTCCGTCTGCACAGATCGAGTACTTGTTGCGTAAGCTGACAGACGCGATGGGGGGGAGCTGGGTGGAGGAGCGTTTTGAGGACTACAAGCTGAAGCTGAACTCAAAGCGGCAGTGTCTGTTGGTGTGGGAGCTCATCAGCCTGGTGGGCTCAGGTCACTTCAGTAAGGGCATGGACCACCAGACGCTCTCCATGGGCATCAACGAGGTCTACCAGGAGCTCATCCTGGATGTGCTCAAACAGGTGAGCAACACGTCTGCATGGATGATCACGTTTTACAGTCCCCTCTGGAAAAATCCAGACTCACTAAGCATGCGCAGCACCTGCTCCTGCTATCTGCTATATTGTAGGGTTAGTCTCTGGCCAGAAACACACCCACCAGCCCTAAAGCACACCGGCCGTTCTGGGTTTGTCCAGAACTCACGGCCCGCCTCCGTTTGGAAGCATGGCTTTGGTTTTGTTTATGAGGCAAATGGACAAAATCCTAATTTGCAGCAATAAAAACTGAGCCATCCGTTGGTGAATTTGGGCCTCGAAGCTTAAGAACTTATGTTAAAACCTGCAGAGTTCCTTATTTCTACTGACTTGGAAAATAGTTTTTGAATATTTATTGGTCTGCAGCAGAAAACTGGTCCAAACAAATGCAAATTTGTCTTTTTTTTCCCTGTAAAACTACCTTAATGATATTTTTCCATTACAGCTCAGAAACATGTTTCTCCTTATTTTGTCTGCTAAAATGTCAGGCTGCTACTGTAGCAACATCAGCGTTTTGCTTACATAGGCGTAGCCGTGGCGGCCCGCCACGGCTGAAATCCCAGCGCCACGCCTGCAAGATCCCAAGTTTTATTGATTTAAAAAATATATATTTTTTTGCATCGTTTCCTGAAGAAGCAGCGGGAACTACTCTGTTGTTGCTTGTGATCACAGCCGGCAGGCAGCAAGGAGGAGGAGGCAGGGCAGGGTGGGTACAGCTAGGGATGAGTTCACGCTCAGACATAGCCCGTAGCATTTGCTATCCGTAGCTTTAGCAGCAGAGAGAGAGGCAGTGCCAACTCAAAGACTTTGTTGCTGTTCCTAACGCCTGGTGACAAAGCTAGCTACATTTCTGAGGACCCTTAGCTACCTTCTGTAGAACTTTCTTCTAGATATTTCCTGCAAATTAGCAACAAAATAGCCATTTTCGCTCCGAACGTTCTTTGGATTGACGTTGTTTCAGCTGTCATCAAGGATATAAAAGTTACAGATACTGTGAATGTTACTAGAGTGTAGCTCACCTTGTAAGGTGCCTGACTCTCATGCAGAAGACCTGGGTTTGATTCTGGGTGTGAACATAGTTCATTTAGAGTTTCTTTTTTACATTAATGATATATTTTTTTACAGTAAGATGCCCAAATTTTTATTTGAGACTCGCCGAACGGCATTGAACTCACAGATAAAAAAGATGTGGGTTCAACTTTCATTTTGGAACAATTTTTCAAGCAAGGGAAGGGAATGATCTGAGCATGCAGGAGGACTGAACCATCATAAACCTTTGTCGGCTGTGCTGAAGAGAAAGGTACAGAACCAATTATTTAATTAATTAGCTGCGTGTTCTCCTGTCCTCTGTCCTCCGGGACACACACACACACGCACGCACGCACGCACGCACGCACACACACACACACACACACACACACACACACACCTGTCTCAGCTGTTATTTTCGTTAAGGAGTGTGCACGTACAGCATGCGCGCCTCGTGCACGAGCCTACAATTGAAGCTGCCGTTACGCTTTTGGCCTGAGGGGGCAATCACGAGCATATAAATTCAAAAGTCCGTAAAGTCCCTTTAATTTACCGAACGAGCATGTTTTTTCGAATGGCGAAGAACGAACCTCAGAAAATCAACAGAGCTCCGATTAGTCCCGGATATTATAAAAATTTACAACAACTTAGGAACGCGTGCGAGACTGCTATGAGAAAGATTAATCCTGATTTCTATCTCATTTTCAGAACCCCGATCCCACTCTCAAATATCAGATTGGTGGTGAAATAGAATTTAGATTTGCAGCGCCTTTGGTGTATATGCTAGGTTTTAATGTGGAGGAGTGGCTGACACCTGAAGCATCAGCCAGCAATAAACCGGTCAAATCAGTGCCTCACCCCCACCCCTACCCCCCTACCCCCGGATTTAACCGGCGGTCTATATCAGTTTTATTGTTATTCAGACATAGTGACCGAGAAGTTGGTGGGTGATGTGTATGCCCCGTTATTACGTGCGGTGAAAGTTGAAGGTACCTTTGGGAACACGATTACTCATGTGTTTAACCCTGTGGATGACATCCCTGTCTCTGCGAATCATATAGAAAACATTCATATCGAAATAAAATCTGATCAGAATGAGCCGATTCACTTCTTATATGGAAAACCAACGGTGAGGCTTCATTTCAGGCCCGCTCACTCCTATCAGAGAAATACAATATTATAACGTGCGTGAAACGGGGTGAGAGAGTCAGTTACGCTCTTTTACTCAGTGCAGCATACTAGGGTTGTCACGGTATGAAAATTTAACCTCACGGTTATTGTGACCAAAATTATCACGGTTTTCGGTATTATCGCGGTATTTTTTAAACGGTGTTGCATATGTTCAGAAAGCATTGATAGTCCTGTTCTACACAAACTGAAATAGTTCTGAAAAGGTTTAACAGTGTTTATTAAACCTAAAATAACACAAAGCCTTAGCAAAAGTGCAACTTTTCACAAGTAAAGGAACAAACAGCTTATTTTTCTGGAACATGTTACAGTAGTCAGTGCAGGTTTAAATTATACAAATCCAAACATTCAAAACATAAACAATATGTAAACAAATCAAAGAAACACCACTTGTTTTCTCATATACTTGTTTTCTTCATTATCAAAATGAAAATCTAAAACTCCAGTCCACACTTGACTTGAGCACTGTACAAGTCAACCTTAAAAAATATGTATTTAAAATAAATATCCACTTTAAACAAATTACTAAAATAACTACTACACTATGTAATCAAATCCAAATGTTCAAGTATAAATGGCATTGAATAAGTAAACAAATCCATGACAAGGAACTAATTGTATATTTCTCTTCATCATCAACAAATAAGATGCTTCATCCAGCAACAGGGTGTCCGTGACACGGTTTAAATGCTGGCAGAGGACGCTGCGGCTGCAGTATATAGTGACTCGTTGCATTCTCCCTCAACCAAAAGTCCTCGCGTCATGCATTTCAGCTAAAATGCTAATGTTAACTTACCTTGCACCGGCTGTGGAGACGTGGGTGATCGTCACGCAGATGTGCCATGAGATTTGAAGTGTTGCTGCCTTCTGCAGACACTTGTTTCCTGCACGTTCTGCAAACGGGATAGCCGTCTTCTATTAACTGTCCCTCAGCATTTTTCAGAAATCCCAAATATGCCCATACTTCCGATTTAGTCTTCTTTGAGGGCTGATGGATGTCCTGGGCGCTGCCGTCGCCTCCTTCGGCCATTATTTCAGCTTCAAAGTTTTGGTGTCGTTGCAAATTAAAAAGTGCGTGTGCGCGCAGCGGGAACTTCAGCTGAAGCGACGGTGGCTGGTAAGGGTCATCGCGCCGAAACCGCGGCCACGGTAAACCCACCGAGATAATATAGTTTTTTAAAAACTGGACGGTTATTTTTATTGTCAACTTTTTTACCGGGGTTTACCGTTATACCGGTTACCGTGACAACCCTACAGCATACATCTTGCAAATGAAAAATTATATATCACTTGCAGAGAAATGACCCCAATGATTTATTAATTATTACGTAACTCAGGCCGGTCATGGGCTACCGGGTTTTAGCGGCGTTCCTTATTTATACAGACATGGCTTTTGGCCCGATATTTTCAAGACTCTTCAGATTTATATCACCTTTTGTTAATAAAGGATTTGCTTTGGCGAAGCCGCATCTCAAAAAGGCTGCGACCGGGATCGCGTCAGATGTGTTGACGTGAGCCGTCAGTAAAGTCACTGAGCCTCACGACCAGGAGGGGTCAGGGCTCATGGTTCTGTCAAGGCAAGTCTGGAAAAGACCCCCCGGCAGGCGTGAAAAGGGATCTACTTCATGAAACGACCGGCGCTTAAAAGCCCCAGTTACAAAACGCAAGCAAAAGAGGAAGAAGTATCAACCGCCAGGCTCTGACATTTTCTAATCATGTCACTGCTTCACAGTAAATCATCAGAATGCACACTGAGCAAATTGGACCTCTTCCCTGTGCCCATGATGTAACTGTCTATCAAAGATAAGATCTACAGCGAAATTTTACCCATAGCAGTGCTGAAGGATAACGGACCTGTAGAATTTTTTGTCCCAGGGGATGGCGAAAAATATTTAGATTTAAATGATACGCTGCTGTTTTTACATGTGAAAATCACCAATGATGATGGAATGTCCCTGACTGACGGAGCGGCCACTGCTCTGATTAATTATCCAATAAACACAATTTTCTCACAATGTGACGTGATCCTCGGCGACCGCCTGATTTCTCAATCCAGTGCAATGCATCCCTACAGCGCAATTATTGAAACTCTGCTGAACTTTTCTGAAGCAAGTTTGGCATCTCAGTTCAGCGCCGGCTTATTTTTCAAAGACACGGCAGGCGCGCATGATTCCATTGTTATAAATAACAGACCCAATTCTAGGGATGAGTACCGAATTCGGTACTTTTTAAGGTACCGACCGAATTCCATAGTACCGACCGAGCACCGATTCACGTCATTTCAAACGGTGCCTCCTTTCGGTACCCATCCTTCATAACGAGAACTTGCCAAGACAGCTGCGCATGCACAAGAGCGTTATGTCGTCACTCGCTGCGAGCCAGTTGTAAACAGAGCAGCATGGTAGAAAGAACGCACGCTAAAGCTTGGGTCCACTTCACTAAATGTGATGGGTAACTGGATGATGATGAAACCAGCGACAACGATCTAAGTGAGACATCCTCATCTTAATCTGCTCCGGTAGGTAAATAAAATGTTTAAGATAATGTTAGCTTGATATGTTAGCTTCTGTTTCGCTAATGGTGCATTCGCTTTCTCCTCGGAACTCCGAATATCTGGCTAGAAGAACATGAACGCGCTCTAAAGTTTGGCTTCACTTTACTAAATGCGACGGGTGATTGGGTGAAGACGAAACCAGTGACAACGATCTAAGTGTGAGGCATCATTGTTTTAATCTGCTCCAGCAGTTAAATAAACTGTTTAAGATAACGTT